TTACCGGAGCTCTTAGTCATTAACAACGTAAATGGCTCCACTCACCTTGAGACATGTTTTTGAATTTTTTTATTTATTGCTTAGATGGGTGTACGAGCTCACCGCCCACCTGGTGTTAAGTGGTAACTGGAGCCCATAGACATCTACAACGTAAATGAGCTACCCATCTTGAGATATAAGTTCTAAGGTCTCAGTATAGTTACAACGGCTGCCCTACCCTTCAAACCTTAACGCATTACTGCTTCACGGCAGAAAGAGGCAGGGTGGTACCTACTCGCATGGGCACACAACCGGCCCTACCAGTAAATATTGTATTTAGACCGCGTTTTGAAAAACCACTCCAATTTTCAATTTTAATGTATAAATAACTCATTATTTTCAAATGTCACATTTTGTGTACCTGCTCAAGCTGTTATGAGATAATATTTATTTTTAATATTTGATCTACATTTAAATATCGAGCTCTCAAGAAAAGAGCAAAACAGTACAACAAACCTTAAAACCCGTAAAAATTAATAATCATTTTGCAAAAATCAGAGTAATAAAAGCCGCAAAACCTATAAAGTTGTGTAACTTGCAGAGTAAGGGTGTGTTTAAGCCTGTATCGCAAGGTGTCACTCTCTATGTAGGTATCAACTCTATTCCTGTAACGAAGTATTCTAGTTTTCATATCAAGGCTTAGACAGCAGCCAAATAACAAAATTGAGATTTCGACTTTAAGTATCGAGGTAGGTAATGTCATTCAAGTCATTACTACTTAAAACCATCGACCCCTGAGCTTGTTCAGGCAAAGAAATAAAAAAAAAAATTTCGTTACCTAAAGTAATCACATCGTTACTCTGTAACCAAAATCGTTCTCGGAAATCACCAATCCGGCACGGACAAGTCACCTGAAGACTCTTTTCAAACCTTGCTTATAGCCGGAATTCGCATTACGCTTAGAAACGTGCCTAAAACAACAACACAAAGGTTTGTTACCGTCGACTGAATGGACTTGTGTAGGATGCCAACGTTACAAACAGACAAATATACTTCTAGAAATGTACTGTACATATTTTCAATTATGTACTTAAAACTCTCACCCTCAACGCGATAATATCGACAAATCGGGATTTCTTTATTCGTAATATTTTAAGGCATCATTGGTAACAAATATTTAGGTGTAATCCATGTTTCATTTTATTTTTTAAAGTGTAATCATTCAATCTTAGAAAACGTTAAAATAACTTTCGCTTAAGATGCGTTTATAAGAAAAGTCGATAAGTGTTAAATAAAAACAGAACACAATCTAACTACGGGTGTATATAATATGACTTGATTCTATGCAGATCAATACGGTGCGCGTGGAATGTTTTGATGGCGTGTCCGAGAAACATAAAACTGCAAAGCTTTGATAAACGTTGGAATACCTTAACAAATTAAAAAAAAAAAATATATTTTTAAGCAAAAAGTTTGGAAATTTTAAATCACCGTAACAAAAAAGTATATTACCTATATATTATTTAAAAAAAAACAACTTAAAGGTATTTTCGGTTAAATTTCGGTTTTCGCAACCATTCGACCCTGATCACGAGAACAGAGAACAGAGTTACACGAAATACTATTATAACATGAAAATGAAAAACGTGAGATTAAACCGTAAACGTTGTTGAAATTGAGCAATTTATAGTTGAATATTTATTTATGAATTGTGCTTAGTCCGCTAGTGCAACGACCCTTAGTGGCTCTTGGCCTCAGATTCCAAAAGCGACATAGGTATCACGCTATGTCTTACAATAAAAGTCAGCGTTCTACGGATTTCACAATTTGTTTCCATAAAATAAAAGGACTAGTAAAGCGTCGTTTGTTAATAATTGAATGCGGATAGCACCATATGAAGTTGTAGAATATGAAAATTCGTACGTGCTTCTCCTTCGGCCCCTCCCGGCGATGTAAGCAATGCAGACCCGATAAATAAATTAAAATATACACTAACCCGAGCTAGATCTGGTTTTACCAGGACTTGCTGCTTACACTCGATTAATTTTAATTTGCTTACACGTTATTCTAAAAGTATACTAACTTAAAATATATTTATCATGTGTCGTTAAATTACAGGTTTCTCAATTTCTGTCTAAGCCAATTTTCAATAACATTTATGCATGGATTACAAAACAAATAATGAAATTAACAGATTTGAGGTCACCCACAACATTAGACATGTATATTTTTGTTACCAATTTTTAAACAACAAACCAAGCAATTTTTGTGTCTCCACTTGAGATAAACAAAAAAAAAAACTTGATGGACTTGTTATACACATGTTTGTGTGCTAAAAGCGCTGGTGTTTCATTTGGCCAATGCTTAGTTTACGAGTTATTTATAAGCAAAATTCGTGAAAAAGTTGCGGTGGGCCTTATTTTGTTTTGAGTAGTTTACATACATATTTTTATTACAAATTTTTAAACATCAAACCAAAAATATCCCCTCATTTCAGTTCAAATATTTTTCATAACATGTTTACTAATGTCAGAGATTTATCAAATTTTCATGGAATAAATAATCGCGCCGTCGTGTCAAAAATAAACATTCAAGCGGGACTAGTCCCCATAGATAACCCTTTTCGGCCAACCCATTGCGCATCCCGGGCCCAAGTGAGGCAGAACTTTCTAGCAAACATCTATTCAACTCGAATACAAATAATATTTGTAGTTTAAAAACAAAAAGAAAAACACGCTTAAACAGCAAACTGAACCAACAATTAATTTCGTCTTTTTTACCTCTTCATAATAGTCTGGTTATTAAGAGCTAGTTCTAAAATTATCTAAAACTATTGTATTTCTAAGTTCTAAAATTATTGTATTGTCATCAGTCCTTACTAATCCTCTTATTGTGCCCACCTCTAATTACATATTCGAACCCAGGCGATAGGCAATTCAAAGCCGCCGACGCGCGTCGTCCGTAACATGTCTTGTCGGATCCTCCAGATCTACTCTGTCGGTGATTTTAGGCTTTTCAAACACAGGTCACCGTCTTTATCGAACTCGTCGATTATAACGAATTGTTGTTCTATGAGCAAACTAGGTCTAGACACAACCCATTGAGCTTCTCGCCGGATCTTTTCAGTGGGTCGCGTTTCCGACCCGGTGGAAGATTATACGAAGCAATGCTCTTGCTAGGGCCAGTGTTTTAGTGCACTCTCTCAGATCGAGTCCCGTGAGTCCACCTACCAAACATACCATAGAATACCCTTAAGCTAACAACGAACACGTAGCAAAGAAAAGTGCGATTCCGTGCTTTCATGTTGATATATGATTCAGGTACTCTACAGAAATATTCAAAAAGGAATACAAAACAAATTAAATGTTAACTAAAACTTTCCTTAAAATATTACCTACATATCTAGGTAATAATTAATTAAAAACAATAAAAATAAATATAAATATATGGTAAATTGAAATTATTTTATCTAACTTTATAGCAACTCTGGAGTATTCATACCCAGTGCTCCAGCTGGACAACACAAAAACTTCCTATTATAATAAATTTATGTATAAACCTAAATTTATTATATATTACATATATATTTGTATTCCCTTGTAATCCCTTGAGAAACCAACATTAAGACGAATAGGCTTATTCAATAATTCACTTCTCTTTGAAATCAATCCTCGAAGAGATTAATCGGATTTCGCGGAATACATATACATTTTTATGGCTTCTACAATTTTCTCTGAAGCACGTATCAGGCGTTGTTACAACGAAAAACGCGTCTAATAACTTAGAAATTAAAAACTAAATGGTTTCAATTGTGACAATTAGAATGAGTTTGTATTAGAATGCATATACAATACTTCATATATAATAAGCATTTAAGTTTCCTAGTGAGAGCTCAACTCTGAGTCCAACAAACATATTATTATTGTAAAACTTATAACGAACATCACATTAATATTCAAATATAAAACTTTGAGTCTGTGCCATTGCTAATTATATAATTACGAGTTTCTTTATCTAGATTTAAAATACTGGTTTTCAATTCAGGTCACGCTTACCATAAAAATGAATATTCATCAAAGAGAACCAACATGTAAAAATTCATCTCCGTATAATTAGAAAAAGTGGGTCTAATTTAGCTTGCAAGATTTGACCTAAACAAACTTACAAAGAAGGGAAGTTAAGGCTTGTAATATTGTTAGAACTCAGAATAAAATCATAATTGAATCTGAAGAATTATTTTCGCTTGCGGTCCGCCTTAAAATTTAGAGTCAAAAATAACTTCTCAGACTGACTAGTGCATCGTCGGATACCGCTTTTAGACATGTGACATGTGAAATAAAGATTTTTGTACAAAAAAAAGTGTTATCGAACGGCAACCCATGACTTTATTCTGTGTACATCTGGGGTGCAGTTCCAGTCGAGTGACACAAGTTTCATTTCCATCCTTTAGAGAGTAATCGATCATGGGAAACTATTCCACCGTGCCGGTATTCTAAAGAACGACTGATACCAAGCTTTTGAAGAATCTGGAATATGACCGACCCCTCCGTACCCACTTTATGCAAGACGATCACTGCAATCCTATTTTCTTTAACACCCATTCCATATTCTAATTTGATAATGAGCACGAAAAAATATGTAAAATGGCGCAAAATCGAAAACAGTTTTTAAAAAAAATATACGTGTTCCAAATTCAAAATAATTAAAAAGTTGAAAAAAGAAAAGTTTTTATGTAACAGTATTTATGGCCAGACTAGTTATATTTAGCTACCGCTACATTTCCTGTAAATGACCATGAGAATACTTGGGAAACATACGACAATAAAAAAAACATTATATTAAAAAATTTATAGTTAAATTTGAATTACGCAAAATCACAGTACACCATTAATAAATGTTTGCTTTAACCGTGCTTAGAAGGTGTTTGGTCAGTGCTATTTTAAATTTTATTATCACTTACCTAAAATCCGTTTTGAAACGAAAATATGCTCTCCAAACTAAGACGCCAATTATTTTCACAGGTCGCAGCAGCGTCGGATGTAGGTGGTTGCTACACGAATCGCATTCTCCACAATCAGTATGCAGCGGTATGTCAACTTTGATTTTTATAAAGATAAATTGGCCAATGAAATGTCTTCCTTAAGATGACAAACTAAGGTTTGCTTTTCTTCAATGTAGCCTCATGTCCATCTGTTCTAAAGTGGCCGCTATGACTCAAAATATTAGCAATGAGAGGAGCATAGCCAAACCGCTACCTGAAACTACCGTATAAGATTCTTCTTAAGCTACATTTGTACTGTCACAATACTCGAGAGATACAGATGAGATAGATATATTCCAAAGCTGGATAGTAAGATGCAAGAAATACGAAAAGTAAAATGATAAATGACCGCCGTGATTTTGCCTGGTCAGATCGAATTAGGTTTTGATAACGGTGGGCATGATGGTCAAACAGAGAAGATGATATCAATTTAAACAATCCTCCAAAGCGCCACCCATGGAATTCAATTTACCCATAAAAGTACAGATCTTTGCGTAGATGAGAAAACTCGAATAAATAATCTAAAATTTGTAATTATAAAAAGGGCCAACGACGGAACAGAGGACGATGGTTATGCTTTTTACCTGAAATCGATCGATCACATTTTAAAATTAATAATATAGCCAGCACAGAATTTAAGCAATATATTTGTTGAGGTACGTTTCTAAATAAAATTAAATATAAATCAAAAGATAATTATTCTTCCTGCAACAAATAAACGCTTTACGAAATAAGTTTCATATGAGGAAATATTGTTTATATGTTTTCAATCTGGGAAATAGGATATAGTATACCTACGTCAGAACTGCCTGTATAGAACAAGTGTAGGTTTTAAAAAAATAATTGGCGACACGCTAACAACCTAACGAGTGGGGCCACACTGAACGACGTGTTGTTTTACATCCTCGTTTATATCCCTCCGGTTATATCCCTCACAAATTGTTAATGTTCGTGAATTTCTAACTCGCCAGAAGTGCCATTTTTACGAAATCAACGAAAGTTTTTGAAAGGTAACCATCCATGGCTTCACTTTCGCAACCGTGTTTTCGATCATGAATGCCCTTGTTATATTTAAACAAAAACTTTGGGCTTTCTCGGGTTGTTTTTTGTTAAGAATGCGTCATTCTGCCACAAAAAAGACATTTGTTTGAATTTAAAAGGTATAAACGACTTCTATTGTAATACAACTGCTATTTTTACTTTGTGCCTACAGTTGGGTGGTTGTGGGGATATTAAGAATTTATATAGGGTCACCCAACCATAGTATTACTATAAGGGCAAAGAAGTCCTTAGCCTGTGTATTTAAAAAAAAAGCAGTATATACATTTTATTGTCGATGATATATCTACATCGCACAGAGTTGATGTTGTCATGTCCTTTTCACCATCACCCAACATGCTACAGCAGTACCTTTTTCATTTCTCTTCTTTTTTCAAGATTTAACACTAATTTGAAGGAGAAAATATAATTGCGCTTGGAAAGTACTTTAAGCATAAACTCCAGAATTTGCAATAGAATAGCAGGTTGTCAATCAGTTTTTTTTAATTAACTTAGCCAATATTCCATACACATCTCTTATTCCTCTCCAATCGTTAGACAACAGAAAATCCCTTAAAATACAAAGGATTTCAATTCGGAATCTACTCGTCTTTTTCATTTGAAATCGGTTATGAACTACATCAAAAATAGTAGTGACTTTATATGAAAAAAACAGAAATAACAGATGAAACAGTCCATTACTTACCCCTGGGTTATTTACGTAACAATGATACCTCGAGAGATTTTGTCCTCGTATTACCGTTACATAACATTTTAGCACGTAAAATCGAAATAATTTCATAGATGTTTTGTTGTAAATAAATCTTATCTGTGACAAAATAAGAATCGTTATTCTGTATATGATACTAAAGTTTGTAATTTTAATAAATTTATATATTTACTTTGATCAAATCGGTATTGGTTTTCCATCTTAGATTACTAAAAATAAGTGAGATAATATTGTTCCGATCTTTTCAGTATAATAACAATGTAAATAGAAACGAGATATCTCTGTTTTACAATTTAAGCCCAAATAAAAGAGGTTTTCATAATCAACAATGAACAGATCAACTCACGATTGATATTAAGTGCATAAGAAAAAAACGTTAATCCGAAGACAGTTAGTTGTTAAAATCAAAAAGACAATGCTCGCTCGTGAGTGCGTCTTATAAAAATTTAATATCGAAACTTGAAGAAGTACAAAAGTTGGAACGAACGAAATACATAGGAGATTCAAATCTGAAATTTCTTTAATAATATAATGTTTGATCTGTGAATTTTGGTTTTGGCACCGAGCACCATCGATATTGCGTTAAGCGACTACCGGTATTTTTATTAATGTTATTATTAATTATTATTCACATGTTAAGTCGCCTCCATAATGTCATGATTATTAATTTAAGTCAGGTCTAATCTCATGTAAATTTTTATTTATTAGATTCACACAACTGGTTGTAGGACCTCTTGTGAGTGCGCGCGAGTGGGTACCACCGCCCTGCCTATTTCTGCCGTGAAGCAATAATGCGTTTCGGTTTGAAGGGTGGGGCAGCCGTTGTAACTATACTTGAGACCTTAGAACTTATATCTCATAGGTGGGTGGCGCATTTACGTTGTGGATGTCTATGGGCTCCAGTAACCACTTAACACCAGGTGGGCTGTGAGCTCGTCCACTCAAATTAGCAATAAAAAAAACAACCGGATTAAATCTACACATAAATAGAAAAATCTATACACTATTGAATCCATACTTTTGAGTGCGTAAGGTCGGTTGTGAAGTCGTGAGAGGCTGAATTTTGTTTATTAAATAATAAAATAACATAATATATAGGTATAAAAACTCAGAAATATACATTATGATAGATAAAATATAGATACATAATATAAAAATCAAAAAATATATGAATAATGATAAAAGAAAAAAAAACACTGGAACAATAATTTTCGGGGTAGTTGAATTGTTGGCGGCAAATAAAAGCGCGGTGATGGTACTGAGGTATTGGGTAGAGTTGGAGCTTTTATAAATTTCAAGAAAAGACTGATGTTATAAATTTTGTCCACAGCGTAATGCAGCGTATCCAGCAAGTAGACTGGAAGGCCGTCCGTCGCGACGGTCATAACATCTTCACCAAGCTCATCAGGACGAAGGACCCGTTGGAGGCAGAGGCCAACCAAGAACTGGCTGTGCCGGGGAGACATCGTTTATCGGTGCGTAATTAATTTTCCTACCACCTACTGGTAGTAGGACCTCATGTAAGTCCGCACGGGTAGGTACCACCGCCCTGTCTATTTCTGCCGTGAAGCAGTAATGCGTTTCGATTTCAAGGGTGAGGCAGCCGTTGTAAATATACTCAGACCTTAGAACTTATATCTCAAGGTGGGTGGTGCATTTACGTTGTAGACGTCTATGGGCTCCAGTGACCACTTAACACCAGGTGAGCTATGAGCTCGTCCACCCATCTAAGCAATAAATAAAAACTCTCATTCCCTAGCGTAATATTTAACCTAATACCCAAGGCGTGACACAGGATAACCGGTGTTTCTTAATACACCTTCAATTTAATGTCTCAATATGGCCAATGGCGTTCACGTGGTTTCTGCACAATCTAGTGATTCTCTAATACCAGATAGAGCACGAGCTCGGAAATAAATAAAAAATTCGTTTAGAAGCAATCTCAGTAGGTACTCACAGCGAATTTTCATCAGAATGACGCAAATACCAGTTTTACTATTCTATTTTCAAGATCATGAAAAGGTTTCATCATCCATCATCCATGGTTTCTGAAGAGTTCGGAAACCATGGATGATGTCTTTTGTGCAGAACAGTATGTAATTTTTAAACATAATTTTAACTTAAAAAAATGCACTTATACATTTCCACTAATAGTTGAAGAACTAGTCTGTGAAAAATATTCTACGTAAAATTTCATTCTGAAGGAACGAACGGTCAATGGAAAACTAACAAAGTTATTTTTCAATTGCGGCTGTGTTACGGTGCGGCTCAAATATCCAGCCTCGCTTCTACTATTGTTTCTCCAGACCGCTTCAGAATTTGTCATTTGAAAGAGTACAACTGAGAAATTTAATTCATGCACACTGGACGCTGGTTTTCAATTTTTTTCTTTCTTATATTCCAATTTTATTTGTATTATTTTATTTTTAAATAAATGTAATTATTTGAAAAAAAGCATATACCAGTAGCAAGTTTAAGGAGATATCCTCCGTGCGTCGTGTTCCTCAGTGCTGGGATCGTGACCTTTATAGAATACATGCATAAAGGTTTTCTTGGGAAAATTGCTAGTGGTGGGTTCCCGCGTCCTTCCACAGCAGAATTTCAGAGATGATTTAGTTCCTCTGGGCTACTGAAGCCCTAGTTCGGGTTACTTGACCGCCGCCCGTTGCTCGGCGTTATATTTTTACGGCCGGGTAGGTGGCATACCGACTCCAACACTCCTCTTTTCTCATCCGGGCTTGGGACCGGCAATGGCAGAAACTACGGATAGTCAGGTGCAAATCGGAAACATTCTTCTAAATAGGATTCCCTATGGAATTTTAGTTTAACTAGCATCTGAATAGTCGCTCGCCGCAAGGTTATTGTATGGATGGTCTGCATTTTGTAGTTCATCTGTCTATCCCGATAAATAAAATAATGACTTGTCTATAATTAAACTGGTGGTAGGGCTCATTGTGAGTCGGCACGGGTAGGTACCACCATCCTGCCCGTTTCTGCCGTGAAGCTGCAATGCGTTACGGCTTGAAAGGGTGGGGCAGCCGGAAAATCGAGGCTCACGTCTGACCAGCATGAAAAGAAAAGTACGACGCGCCATTTACGTCGCTGATGTCTATGGGCCCGGTAACCACCTAACATCAGGTAGGCCGTGAGCTCGTGCACTCATGTAAGAAAAAGCTAATTAACAAGATTATATTATTCAATACAATTGGGAGATAATTAATTTGAAAAATGAAATGATAAAAAAATAGTCGTGTATTACTTAAAATACTAAATGGTTTCCACAAATCCAATTCCGATCCAAAACAAATTCAACGTTTTAATTTTGTTTAAATATAAATTAATTTGTAATTTAATTTAATTTCTGTTTGATTGCTAATTAAATACAAATATATGGTTCAATGGAAATTCAAATCGACATATGATATAGAAATATACCCACACACAATAGAGTTAAACAAATAGACTTTCAATATTATAATAATGAGATCATTAACAAACATACATGTGTATGTACCTTTGTATGTACCTTTGTGTGGGTAATTATGTTTGATTGCAAGCGTATCTCCAGAACTACTGAATTAATTGGGGCTTGGACTAATTAGTAACACCTTCAAAGATCCTCGTTAAAAATGTACTAATCCGTAACAAAAACATTATTAAAAAAAAGTGTGTGTGTCCGCTCCGACGCACGACTGGAGTTTACTGGATATAAAAAATTAAACGAAACAATACGAGAAATAGTTCTATATTACGACAACACGATACACTACAGATTATTAACAAATTAACGAGACACAAAACAAACGACTAACAAATATATGAAAATACAATAATGAGAGAAACGCGCGATCAGTACGAGGCTTTGTGGCGGACTGCCGGCGCAGCAGCCCGGCGTCACCTGCGATAACGCGGCCGCGCGTTGGCTCCTGATTGGCGCGCGCACGCATCACGCAATCAGGAGCCAATCAGGCGCATAACGCATTTCGTGTGACATGCTAGTACGATTTTGGTCCCCATAATTTTCATACCCCGGGCCTATATATGTAAATCGATTCTAAAGGAGTAAACTCCAAAAACAAGCCAAGAACTAGGAAATTAAAATGAAAACCAGTTTTTTTTCTCTGTATGCAACAAATTTTCCTGAAATTACTTTCTAGTTTAGTCCGTCACTGAAGTTTTATTAAAACAATTTTTACTGGTGGTAGGACCTCTTGTGAGTCCGCACGGGTAGTTACCACCACCCTGCCCATTTTTGCCATGAAGCAGTAATGCGCTTCGGTTTGAAGGGTGGGCAGCCGTTGAAACTGTGCTTGAGACCTTAGAACTTATATCTCAAGGTGGATGGCGCATTTACGTTGTAGATATCTATGGGCTCCAGTAAGCACTTAAAACCAGGTGGGCTGTGAGCTCGTCCACCCATCTAAGCAATAAAATAATAATAATAAAAACACCATTTTCCCTTATAACAAGTAACAACAGATCGGAACAACTTAAACCACAATCTTAAGGCTCACCATCGGGTTTCTGATAACGGAAATGTTAAAGTTGTGTGGAAATGTTAAAGGTGGGTGGCGTCATTTACGTTGTAGATCACTATGGGCTCGGGTAACTTTTTAACATCAGGTGGGCCGTGAGCTCGTCCACTTATCTAAGCAATAAAATTAAAAATTAAAATATGACTATGCAAATCGGTGCCCCGATATCTTTCCATAATAATCGAACCCTTACCTTATTTGTATGCTTAACCTTCACAACTTCTACAAGCACTGGCAAACTAAGTTCAGTATAAAAAAAAGAAAGAATGCAAGTGTTTACGACGGAGCGTGAAATTCGTGAAAGACTCAGCTAGGCTTGATCTACAAGTGCCTTCAACTATGTCAAAAAAAGAACGTAAATGCACATTTGAAATCAAGTTATATAATATTTAGAAAAAAAAAAAAAAAAAACCCAGTACGCTGCGTGTGTAACACAAGTTCGGAAAATAAGTTTAACCTTTGAAACTAAAAGGCGTAGAATATTGGGCACAAAAAAAATAAAAAAAATAATATGTTTCAAAATAAACAGTATACAGTCTAATATATAAAATTCTCGTGTCACAATGTTCGTTCCCATACTCCTCCGAAACCGCTTGACCGATTCTCATGAATTTTTTTATGCATATTCAGTAAGCCGGGGAATCGGCTACTATCTATTTTTCATACCCCTAAGTGATTAGAATTGTCCACCCCTAACATTTTTTTTTATTTGGACATTTTTTTTGTTATAGTGAGGTATTATGTGGTTGAATGAGGTTTTGTTATTTTTATTATATATTCCCTCATCGTTCACAGCACTACATACCTCTTTCACTCATTTACCACATCCTTACACACTTACAATAAGTTAGTTTTTTTTTCTACACTAGAAATTCCCTAGAAATCATATATATGGCAAAACAATGTTTGCCGGGTCAGCTAGTATATCTATATATACAACATTATAACATTATAACTTTGTAGTTTTATAAAAGAGAAGTTCTCATTCCGAACCAATATTTATAAGTTGCTTTGAGTGAGAAAATATCAACAATTTCTACAAGTCATTTCCATTTCGTTCATTCATAGGACCAGTCTTTATGAATACTATTATTTGATAGGTTTTGCCGCGATTGATAGTTTTAATGAGTTCCCGAAATTGCGGTACTGTTGCGAGCGGTAATGTTGAAAAATTAATTAGCTTTTGCAATGTTTTTTTATCATCCAAATAAATTCGTATGAAAAAAATTTTTTTATATCAATTATGTATTTATAACCTAAAAAAAAAAACAAATCAATTGAATCTTTCGAAAATTTGGCCTGGCGGTGCCTACCCTCTTTTATGAGTCTCATTTAGAGAAAAGCCCTAAAATCAATTTTAAACCCTAATTACAATTTTGTATGTAACGATTGTTATCCTTTGCTGAAATTTTCTTTTGCGGAGTTCCAGCGAATAGCTATCGTAGAACACAAGATATTTTTCAGACGCTTGAATCTCGCTAATACCATTTTCAAGATAAACTTACATACATACATACAGATATACAAGTTCCGGACAACAACATTCGAACCTTCGGTCTACCGAGGAATGGCTCCTGCTCGATGGATGCATATTTTTGAAGGGATTTTATGACCTGGTAACTAAGACCTTTAGGTCAAGTCTTATTTTAATTAAATTCTTATTTTTATGAGACATGATAATATGAAGTGAAATGAAATGAAATGAGATGAGATGATATGGTATGAAATATAACCTCAGTAAAATAGTGGTCATTTACTGAGATTTTTTCAGTGGACTTGTTCGAGGATCCCAAGAAACTACGTTCAGCGGCTTTGTTTGATTTTCACACATTTGGGCACTAAATACATACTAAACACTTAATAAACCACCGTTATTATACACTTAAACCTGAAGAAACACTAAATAGACAAAATAAAACAAATCACACAGCTTCACTCCT